GAGTCATCACATAAATCCCATCTGCTGGATTGGCAGGTGCCCACAAGAAGGCTGGGTTTCTCTACAGGGGAGATCATCGGGGGATATGAGGCCAAGCCCCACTCCCGTCCCTACATGGCCTTGGTCCAGTTCCTTGATGAGAATTTTGTGGAGAACCAGTGTGGGGGCTTCCTGATACGGGAGGACTTTGTGCTGACCGCTGCTCACTGTTTCGGGAGGTGAGAAGCAAGGAACAGTCCATACACTCCTGGAACATTCCACAGGGACCCCTGTCTTCTTCCTTAGATGCTCCCTGGGATGCTAGGAATGCATGTGGATTCCTTCAGGGACGAGACATGTGCCAGTCACGTCTCATGGAAAGAGACAGGCTGGCACCGGAGTCTGCTAAGTAATCAAGCATGCGTGTTTAGGTCTAGGACAGCATTGCAATACAGTCTGAAAACTATTGCATGTGCTTCCTTGGGTTGTTTGGACTCTGATAAGCCCTGGTGCAGACACTGGGGCTTCAGAATTCCATCAGCTCACAGATAAGTAGCAGAGGCACAGTCACTCCTGTGTTAGAGCCCTACCCCTACCAGCCCTTCTCACCTCCTGGGCTGTATCCCTGACTCTGCATCCCTCCTCCACACTGTGCTCTCTGTGCAGCTCAATGAATGTCACCCTGGGGGCCCACGGCCCACAACAACAGGAGAAGACCCAGCAGGTCATCCCTGTGGCAAAACCCATTCGACATCCAGATTATAACCGTGAGAAGATAGTCAATGACATCATGCTGCTGAAGATGAAGCCTCCCAGCTGCCTTGGTCTGCCTTGGCTGCAGGCTTGTCCCTCCTACTCTGACCCGCCCCTTCCCTCCCTTCCTTCTATCCTGCCCTTCATGGTGTCCCAGCCCAGAAGGCCACTGGCTGAGCTGGACTCTTGTGCTTCTTCTCCCTCAGAGCTGCCTTGGTCTGCCACTGCAGGCTTGTCCCTCCTACTCTAATCCGCCCCTTCCCTCCCTTCCTTCTATCCTGCCCTTCATGGTGTCCCAGCCCAGAAGGCCACTGGCTGAGCTGGACTCCTGTGCTTCTTCTCCATCAGCTGAAGAGCAAAGCCCAGCGGACTAAGGCTGTCCAGACCCTCAAGCTGCCCACAGGCAAGGCCCAGGTGAAGCCAGGGAGTTTGTGCTATGTGGCTGGCTGGGGCGACACAGACGCAAGGGGAACACCCTCAAACACACTGCAAGAGGTGAAGATCAAAGTGCAGGCAGACCAGGTCTGTGAGTCCAGCTTTGCAAATTATGACAAGAACACTGAGATGTGTGTGGGAGACCCAAAGACAAATCATGCATTCTTTCAGGTGAGTCTGATTATCTGCCTCTCGTGGCTCTGTGGAGGGGAAGGGAGACTCTGGGACCTGGTGACACAAACAGCAAGGGACTCCTTCACCCACCAGCGTTGACCATTCTCTGAGAAAAGATCAGGAGCAGGTGGAACTGGGAATCAGCTAGGACCTCTGTTGAATCTGCTCTTCACAAGAAGGAGTTTGCACAAGCTAAAGTCCCAGGCTTAAGACACTGCTTCCTGAGTGTGTCATGACCAGGTGACTCTTCAGAGTGGGCACTTGACTTCTCAATGGCTCATGCCCCACACTGACATCAGGTGCATTCACCTCAGCCCTGTCCTTACATGGGAGCCTGGAGATGATGGTCCAACCCTCAAAGGGGGTGGATCACAGGACCTGGGGAGAGCACAGAGGCTGGCCCAGGGGTGAGGTGACACAGTAACTATGCCCATAGCCAGAGCTCAGAAGCCCAGGGCCGCAGGAGGGAACCTACCCTCTGAAGTTCACAATCAGAATGTATAAGTCATCGTTCTCTGAGTGCAGGCTTGGGATAAGAGGGAGGATAGGCCTGGGAGGAGAAACCAGCTCAGTTCTTCCCCTCTGTTCACAGGGGGATTCTGGAGGGCCCCTTGTGTGTAAGAACGTGGCCCAGGGCATTGTCTCCTATGGACGTAAAGACGGGACAACTCCAGGAGTGTGCACCAAAGTCTCAAGTTTTCTACACTGGATAAAGAAAACCATGAAACGCCCCTAACTACAAGAGACAAACTAGGCCTTTTATTTAACCATCTACCCTAGAGCTGAGTCCAGAACTGAACTAGGAGAGGTCTCTTAGCCCAATGCAATAAATGTCTCTTAGCCCAACAGGAAAGCTGGTTTGTTGTTTATTTGTCCACCTCCATCCACAGGTACCAACTCTAAGCTAGGCAGCCAGTGGCACAATTCTGATGTTTTTCTGCTCCAACCTCCCATCCCCAATGATGCGGGCTCAAAGCTCCTGCGAAACTCATACCCATTACCTATGTTTCTGCCCCAGTCTCTCCTGGGCTCTCCTTCTGATGGTCCTGAGTATCATCAAGAGAATACTTGGATGTCTCTTATCCTGGGGCTCAGGGTACATTTCTTATACCTGTGTTCTAGGAAGAAGAGAAAGGGAAGACACATGGGTCCTGGAGGCCAAGCAGACAGTGAGGCCACTGAGCCTTACCCCATTAGGGAGGGGAAGGGCCTTCCTGGGCAGAACATCTCTTTCCCACAGCTTCAGGATTCAGGTGCAGCTGTTTGAGTGGCTCCTTATTCTTATCTGGAATCTGTTTCCTTCCCCATCCTCCTCTTGAGAACAGGACAAGCTTGGTCTCCACCCTCCTGGCTTCCCCACTGTCCTCCATCCCAGCTCAGAGTTCTGAGTCTCCCAACTTCTGTGCTTCTCAGATCACGCTGATCTGAACAGGTTCCTTCCTC